ATTTTGCCATGTCCCAAAATGCATGTATAAATATTGAAGTGGAGTGGGTTATAGAATGCGTCGAGTTAGTAATATGGCGGATGTGCAGCAAAATCACTTGTTTCTGCAGCTGATTATGAGGCCATAATAAGACATTACATGATATAATTTTGGCAACTGAAGTCACCACGATCATAGTACTTTGATGGTGATCATTGAAGGTGTAATAATTTGCTCATAAGTTGTTCATTGGCTGTGTACATGTTCATTGGGAAGTACGTATCACTGACTTTGGCTTTTATGTCCATCCACCCATTGGTACATGATGGGTTTACCTTTTGTCCATAACCTGAGAAAAAGGGGGATACGTACATGTATAAAGGCTTTGCGTGGTAGCCATCTTGCAGGGCAGTTCTTTTGTTCCACAGTGAAACCTTTGGGCAGACCCTGTGGAACAAAAGCATTGGCCTGCAAGATGGCAGCAATGCAAACCCTCTATTACATGTATTACGAGTGTTTTGTTAACGGAGAAATATGTGCTTGGGTTTGTTATAGAACCATGGTTCCTTTAAGATGGGTTTCTTGAGAATGGATGCGACAAATGCCCAAGCTGTCATTGTCAGTGTTATTCTCCTAGCCAAGCATATTTATTCTCAATCATAAAAACCTTTTATGTCAGCAAGTTTAAAGACACAATTTTTTAAAGTACAGATTTCCTATGATTTTGTTGACAATGCTAATTCATTTTTTAAAACATCCCTGTAGCCCTATAATGGCATGTGCCTGTCACAAGTAGTCACATACCAGTCTCCTTATATGAAAATTGGCAGAGGAGTGGCTTGTACTGCGTGAAGTCGGGCAGTGTGATGAGCCAGCCAGTGCTTAAACACTCATTCAGTACCAGGCACGTGATGGGCTATCAACAAATAGGAATGGCTAAACTGTCTTAGGTACAGGTATTTCTGAATTAGGATTCAAAATCTGCCCGGACGCACCCAATGAAAAATAAAAACCAGTTCAAATTTTCCATTCGTGTTTTAACCGTCCCCAATCCGCTTCGAGTGAGAATAAGAGAGATTACGCTTCCACACAGCAGTGGTAGTCCAGTGGCGGGGAACTCACCCGCATGCCCACGCAGGTTTATGCATGCTCGGCGCAGGACGTGCTGAGCGCACGCGAGCAGTTTCCATTGGATGGTGTGGCCTCTGCCTGGTTGCCTGGTTGCAGGAGTTCTGGTTGAGAAGCTTCCCACCGGTCTGTCTCATGTTTGCTAGTGAGGGTGTAGGTCTACCGCTACTCGGGACAGATACTGGGAAGCATGCCTAGAAATGGCTCTGCTTTCTGCCAAAGGTTTCCACACCAGAAAAAAATTAAAAAGCCGCTTTTACACTTGTCAGCTTTGAGCCTCACACATTTTGTGTGATCAGGTATGGTTACTTCATTTGCAAATCTTCCAACCAATGCGTAGAACAGTTACTTCCGATGATGAAAATCTAAGTGAAACATCTGGTTTCATCACACAGCCGTAACAAATTAAAACTGCATAAGAAAGTGAACGGTCTCTCTCTCCCCCAAACGGTCTGCTCGCTTCGCATGGTTAGCGATACAAATGTACTACCTGTATCATTGTTCTTGTTTATTTTGGACATAGATCTCACCCTTTGATCTCCATGTGGCGTTTTGTGAGATTTTCCAGATGAGATCTCAGTGATGGCGGAAATTCTCCACAATTTTTGGGGGGAGATTGCCAAACTCGGCCAATTGTCAGCATTAGTCAGAGCCAAATTCTGCGGGGTGCAAAAAGAATATTAATTCGACTGAATCAAGAAGAAATGGAAAAGAAATTTGGCATGACGTTCCTCTTAACCGAAGTAAACTTATTCCTCTGTATCTGGTTTTACCATACATTTCTCAGTTTGGCAAGAGTGTAGTGTTTTGTCAGTGCTTGTGATGTATGAAACTTAACCCTAAGTTAACAACAAATCTGCCAAAGATGCAGACAGTTGTTCAACAGGTGTACTCTCTCGGGATAACAGGTTTTGGGAACTTCCCTCATTACATATACTGAACTATTTTGACATATTCTCACGAACAATTATCACTTTGGTGCCTGACTGACATCGAAACACTTTGAAGGTTTTTGCAAAGCTCAGCGTAGGCCCAAGTTGTACTTTTTAAGTGATTAGCTTGGCCCATTGTTGTCATTCTGAATGGGAGGGCTGTCGATCCGCAATCATTGGCTTTCATGTGCAGTAAACTTGCAAAGCCTAGTTGAAGCTATTTGTGCGTAAGCTTCCGCCCGGAAAGAGAGGCAGGTTTTTTTCAGGTATTTGGTCTCTGAGCGGGATAGGAGTGCCCGTTATGTGCGGAATTTGGGCCAATTGTGAGCAGTCCCTAACTGCTGGGGCGTGCGACCGTCACCCCTGAATATCGTAGGACAAAGAGACGAGTATGAATGTAGTCAGTGCTTGGTTTTGGCTGTTGGAGAGAGAGAAGACGAGTTGTTTACATTTGGCTCTTGCCGTGTCCCAGTAACATATCCCCTCACGCAGAGAAAGTGAGAAGTCTTTAAATTTGATTGGATTGGAGTTGTAGAAGGGTAGAGTGAATACTCCATGATGTACACATGTAGGCATATCAGAATGGACTGGACAGGAGTGACTCGCATGCCTGTGGGAAGTTGCTCAGCCACTGGCTATCGACTTCCGTCTACATGTATACACGTGTTAAATGCAGCCGCAGCCATGTTATGCTTTAGTTACAGGGCCTGTTCTGTACAAATATCCACCCAGTGGGTTGTAATCAGAAATCAGAAATCTGAGCATGAAGAGCAAAAGACACCCCCCCCCTCTCAAAAACAATGGGAATCTGTGTTTAAGTTTAGGAGTTTTGTCAAGATTTTTTTCCACTGGAACACGCGTTTTCAGTTTTCCGAGGAAGGAGTTTATGTAGTTGAGATAAGCAGGTCTCAAGTGGGCGAGTTGCTGTTTCTCCGACCTGAAATATAGGTGGTCCCGAAATGGTCTGAGGTTTATCTTTGTTGTACACTTCCGGGCAAATTCCTTTCATAGAGGGACAGGGTCATTCAAGACGGTGAGGTCTGGCCAACAAAGAGATGAATTTTTTTTTTTAGGGGGGGGGAGACATGAGTTTTTAATCCGAGAGCATTGTTGTGGTCTACTCAACCTGGAAAAGCTCTGAATTGGACCAACCCACATGGAGTGCTTTACCTTGGCCGCCACGCTGTCATACATGTACGTGCATCGTCCCCCACTGTGCAAAGGAGTTCGGAATAAACCAGGACGCCAGATAGGTCTGACGTCTATCCAGTTTGCCGGTCTATTGCTCTGATGTGTTCATCTTTGGGCCCCCCCAAAAAAAGCTGTGCAATAGTTGCACCACTAGGGACGTCCCAGTTGTATTGCGAGTACTTCAACAATATCTATTTTTAAGCCATTGTATGACTCACTGGTATCTTGGCAACTGTAGTTGGTTAAAACATTCCCAGTTTTTAATCGCAAGAATGTGTTGTTGTTTTTTTTTCATCTTGTGTATGTGCTCCTTTTTTGTTTGTTTCTGTCAACTGGTCTTCATTTCCTGTTTTTTTTATGGGTCTGTGGTCGCATTTTTCCTATTTAAAGTTTTACATTTATGTCTGTTGGTTACCTTCAGATTACGTACTGATTCATTTTTTGTCGACATATTTGTAGTGATATGCTTTGCTCTTGAATGAAGAAAAGTCTGTCCTGGTTTCAAATACTTAATAACTGTATTTGCCGTTTGGCAATTTTTTTTTGGGTTTTGGGGGCTCTTTATTTCAGCCTTTTTATTTATCGGCCTCGTCTCAAATTTGAAAAAAGGTTGGCATTTTGGCAACGTTCTGACATGAAATACTTTGCGTTGCCATGCATGTATACACATGTAAGTGGTCCTTTTCAGGCAGAGTTCTATTGGGAAAATTTCCCATTGCCCTGTGATCAGTCCTTTTCGGTTACTTCAAAATGATCTGTCTTACTTCTCCCCATTTATAAATTTTTTTGTCCCGTTTCTTCAAACTGCCGTTGACTGCACATTTTTAGAACAGGCTGCACTTTTTGCCCAGTGAAGCGGTCAAGTGTTTTTTGGAAGGAGGTTACAAAGACCTTCCAGAAACTGTCGTTTCAAGTTGCTTGCCTTTGGGAGGAGACACTTCTGCATTGGCTCAAATTACCAAACCTGCCGGAGTGCACCTGGAAACACAGTTACTCTGTGAAAGTGTGCTCCCGGTCTGTGCGTGATTTGTATAACATCTCCCTTTATTCATAACCTTGCTTGCATTGACGTAGTGATTCAGTCATGACTAGTCCTGATTCCGGCAAAATAGGCCTTTTGCCAGTTTAATGTGATGTCGAATTGAATAAATCTGGTAGACTGAGTTTTTTAATTACATGAACATAACAATTTGAATTCGCCGTACTAAAGACAACGCTGCTGTATCTCGTGATTTGGGGTAAGTTTGTGCTTAGTTACATAAGAGACGCCTTGCAACAATACTCTGTTTTTCGAAGGATAAGAACGGCACCAAGGAACCAGTCCATTCCAGAGATAGTGGTCGCTATGCAAGAGCTTGCCTCAAATCGCGAGGTGTAGACCAATTCACTGATGCCATTACTGTGGTGTCCTCGTCGCCCAGGCGCGCATTCCTGAGATTGCCGAGCGTGTGATTTTGGTTAGCAGTGTGCTCCCGTTGGCTGATGAGGAAGCGTTCAGTGTGCATTTCTTTTGTTCACTCACGTGGGAACACCACGGTAATCGATCCTGATTCATGTCACTGGATCCGTCTATAGCAACAGTGTCTTTAGTCTGGGGAATTCAAATTGTCATGTTTATGTGCATTCAGATAACTCAGTGTACCAGATTTTGTTCAAATTTAACTTGTAAAAGACTTATCAGATCCAACTGGAAATTACATTTTGCTAGGTTTCTGGTAAGTTTCTAGTTTAGAGCTAATTTGTGTGTTTGTGTGTGATATTGTCCACCAGGTCATCTGTCATCGGTTTACCCACAGTAAAGAAAGACAAGTTCTCAGTCTTCAACTTTCTCTCCATGGCCCAACCAGCCAGTGAGGTGACAGCGCCCTCAACCTCCACGCCCGCCGAGACTGGGCGCGATGGAGGTCAGGAGCCGAAGGACAAGCCATCGCGGTGGGACCGAAGACCCGCCCTCCTAGCAAATGTGGGTGCGTCTCCAGACATCGAGGGCAGGGCTTCAACTGGCCAGGCACCTGTAGAGCGCGGGGTATGGCAAACCATTTCTTACAGTATGAGTCTGGAAGTCCCGGAACTGCTTTTTAGTCTATGCCTTTAACAGAATCTTGCAGAATGTAACTCAGTAAGAACCCCCGACATTGCTCACTCTTGCGTTGCACCTGTTGTGATCAGGATACCAAACCAAGGGACAACACAAAGACCTTAGTTGCTCTCTGTCATGCAAACCAAAACCAAATTACTTTAAAAATGACCGTCAAATTCATTACATGGGATCAGGCCACAAATACATATTTGCCACTTTTAATCATGGCCTTGTCACAATCAGCTGAAGTACAATAACGTGGCAGTGGTCATTAGGCACCTATATGATGTTCATTGAAAATGGATCATTCTTTTCTGAATTACATGTTTCACCCATTGTGCCTTCAGTAACGTTACCTGACCAATAACAGAAGATACAGTAATCAGTGATGTGTTGAATGCACTTAAATGCCTTGTGTCCGGTTAATCCTCTCTTCAAAACAAACTTAATTCCCCCCCCCCCAAAAAAAAACAGGAGGGTTGATGCTTTCTTGCCATACCAATTTTCAAAGGAATTTATTGACAGATTTTCAGCGACTGTCATTGACTATGCTTTTTCATCTCAGAATCCTGACGAAGCGGATCCCGAGACCCGACCGCCCATGGACCTCTTCAAGGCCATCTTTGCCGACTCCAGCTCCAGCTCAAGTGACGAGGACGACGTGGAAGGCGCGGAGGAAGGAGTCACAGAGGGCGCGAAGGAGACGCCCAGCAGGCAAGAGCAACGCCAGGAAGGTAAGGATGAGGACTAGGGAAAGAGCCCAACTTCAGTTTATGTAAAAAGTATTAACCCTAACCCTACATAATAGTACAAATTACTACTTGTAGTAAAATGTAGAATTCAGTCCTGTCACTTGTAAGAGGACATGACCGTAATGTTCTCTGAAGCTATAAATTACAATAGACAAGACAATGTACCATACAGCGCCGTGGCACTATGAATGCATGGCTTTATTGTTCTCTGTACAAGTAACAATGGAAGTAACCTAGCCAGAAGTAGTAATTGTAGCACTATGTCCTTCAGGCTAAGGCTATTACTTAATATTTTGTAGTACTGAGTACTGTAAGCCAAACAATATGCTTGGCAGTTAGGGTTAATGAATGGTACCAAATGTAGGAGTACAGCGGAACTGAAAGGGATGGGGAATAACTGCAGAATCCCCCCCCCCAGTCAAGTAACCAATTTATTTTTCAGAGGGAAAGGGCACTTCTGGAACACCTGAGTTTATGATTGGAAGCACTTTGAGTGGCCTCATGAAAGAAGTATTCTCTACCTGTACCATAGTTATGTCTACAGCAATGCCAGTACTGGAACGAGTTCCATATACAGACAACACTTGAGGCCCTGTGCACAAAACTATCAGACTACAAGCATTTTCTTAGTAAATGCTTCAGAATTTCCTAAGCTAAATTTCACTTTTTCAGACATGTTATTACTATCTGACAGCTGTTATAGCCTTTTTAAGGGAAAATTAATGTTGTCCTTATATGAAATCTATAAGGAGGGTAATTTGGATTATAAGAATCATTATCAAGATGTTCTTTCAGTGTCTGAAGTTTGATCTAAATATTCTTGGGAAATTACCAGGAAAATGTTGTTAAAACTCTAACGTCCACCCCCCCAACAGTGTGTCAACATTGTATTGAAAATGGTTGATTCAGGATAGTTTGCGCAGATACTTACATTAAAACCAGTTCTCATCGCCAGCTGGGTATTATTTCTACTCAGATGTTGATCCAGGGAGGCCATCTCACCCCTCTGGTACTTCCGCAGCAGACTGCGGCCACCCCCTTGGAATGCCAACAGCGAGCAATACTACGAATTCCCCTCAAATCACAGCCAGAAATGGAAGTGGAGTCCAGACTCCCCCCGTGGACTCTGGGTCAGACTCCGAGGAGATGTACGGCCCCAGCCTACCCCCGCCTTCCTCTGCCTCTGTCAAGGCCGTCCCTTACAGTGCGGGGGTCAGAGGTCAGGCGCCTGCGGGGTCGCGAAAGGACCCCAGGGGAGACGGCAGACATTCCAGAAGCCACAGGAAGGAGAAGCGAAGGAAAAAGCAGGGGAGTCGGAGTGGCAGCAACAAAGACAAAAAGGTGAGAGGAAAAGGGACGAGCAAGGCTTGGATCGTCTCGTTTCGGGCATGCCATGAATATTTCTTCCGAAAGAACACTGGGGAATGAAGCAAACCCTTTGGGCTGATGAAGTGAAATTTGTTTCTTGTGTTCTCCACCACCCTCGGTATACTGCACAGCCCCCTCAACTCACCAACAAACCCTTCCTGATGCGCACAGTAGATTTAATTAAAATTGACGGCAGGGGACAATCATTTGTCAGTTTGTGGCATTGAGAAGTTGTTGCCAGCCACTTCACAGTCAGAAAGCAGATCAACATGTGATCTGATAGGCACACATTCACTGTCAGATTTTCCTGCCCATTGAAGACCTTTAGGTGATCAGTGAGGGTAACACTAGCTGCCACAGTGGGCAGCTGGACCAGCCATCATTTCAAGGTTGTTTTCAACAAAGGGTTGCTCAGAGGGCAGTTGAATTCGGAGAGCGTTTCTTTCTCCCCGTGGATAGCTGTGTTGTTCAGGTGACCAAGAAACAGCGATAATGCATTGACCCGTTTAATTTCCCCCCCCCCAAAAAAAAAGCAGTTGTCCTTGCTGAAAGAGCAGTTAAGCCCAAGAGTAACATTAAATCCCAAACCCAACAGTAATGGTAGAGAGCATTACTTGCCCTTGACTTTTATTTTTCTGAGAAATAGCTGGCACAATTATTTTGTACATGGCTTCCATCTTGGAGTACACTTTGTTCGATTTTAAAACATGAAGAGAAAAGAAGTGCTAATCCTTGGCAAATCTACCAGTTTAACAGTTTAAAAATGTACTCTTGCATTTATTTAAAAAGGAGTAACTGTTACTGTGTTATATTTATTTAAAATACAAACCGGTCCAGGATAAGAGCATATTATAATATATAAAATGGTTATGTGATGGACGCAAGAAAATGTGCATCGTTTGGCAAATCTACTATTTTTTGCCGAATATTTTCCTCCTTAGCCAGGCACGGGGGAAGCCTTATGGATGCATTGAATAAATAATATGTGAAATCCTGTTAGTTCTCTCTCTCTCTTTTTTCACACGGTATCTTTTCAACAATAGTGTACCCACAATTGGGGCTATGAGCCTTTTCTTTTGCCTGACGGAGACCCTGCTTTTCAGATTGGTCAGAGGGAATGTGGGGGGGAGGATTCTGAAATACTGAAAAAGAAAATTCACTTTGCAGTTGAGTCAGACCTGAGGCCTTGTACGTCAATCCATTGTATTGAATTCCTCTAATACCTATTTCCCCCCTTCGTTTGGACAAGTGTAGCAAGGCCATTTTGTTCTTTTCTTTCCTTTTCTTTTTTCACAAATCTCTTGAGCTCATGTGTGAAAGCACACACAGGGCCCTTTTTCAAAGGCTTTTCCAAAAGAGAGAGAGAGGATTTGTTATTTGTTGTCGCACAGTCTGTGCTGGGTTGCACAGGGTAGGAGCGGGCTGAAGTGCACATGTGCAGCAAGGTATGAGACGGAGAGAA